TCATACACATCGAAAATAAATGCATATTAGTGCAAACTGACCAATCTAAGAAAAAATGGAAATCGATTGCAACTGTCATTACCAAGGATCTAAAATTGACCGCATGGTGAAAGAAAGGGAACTAAAGTGGTTGTTTCAATTAATTTGCACAAGTGTGTAAGTGTATAAGTGCGTGTGTGATGAGTGCCTAAATATGGTACCATCGATTTGTCAGTGAAATGTAGCGAGATGTTGATAATAATTTTCTATTAGTTTGGATTTTTCTATTCCCGTGATTGTGTATGTGTGTGTGGAAGATGTCTATTATCATCACTTGTGATGGTCAGTGATACCTATCAAGATATTGGTATAATCATGTTTAGTTTGGATCTAACATTAAAGCAATTCACATGCGTATATTTTGAAAAGGATCTACAAACACAAGAGAGACTTGCGTTTAGACAGACATTCTAACTTTCTCGTCTTATATCGAAACGACGTGTGACATCGCTTTGGTTTCACTAATGCCAGCCTAATTAGAAAAGAACATAACCCTTTCAGGAGGAAATATATTGAAAATATATTTATAGCATTACTACAAACTATCAACAATCGCTTGAAACATTACATGATATAACCATCTTTCTACAGATCTATTATTCATGAATGTCTATCTAATACATAAAATAATAAATATTTACAGATCTTTTTTCAAAATATACATATGTGAAATGCTTTAATGTTAATGATTATTATATCTTTATACATCTTACCGACCAACAAAGAACTGACGACAGACATTCCACACAAACACACACATCCAAAAAAACAAACAAATATAAAAAAATTGCCATATCTCGCAACATTTCACCGACAAAAACATGAGTGACATCTGTAGATATTCTACGCACATACACATACACTTACATGAATTTTCGTTATCGGTCAATCACACCTAGACACACAAGCATCACTTTACATACACATTCTTATACTGTCACACATTTCAACGTCAAAGATGTTCCTCACACATATTTATATATTATCTATGGCGCTAATACACGTTACACGTATCCGACCAATAAGAACTAACTAAAAGTTATAACATACCGGTACCCTGTGTCTCTTTGCTCTTTTCACTTCTACCTTAGTAGCTGTAATAAAAGTGAAATATTACGATAATCCTATCTATATCTGATCTATATTTAATCTTGAACTCATAAATAAATATATATATATGTGTGTGTGTGTGTATATATATATAAGCTATAGAACCCAGTCTATCCTGCTATTTACCCATAGCTGGAGGGAGAAGAAAGATGATTCACACTTTTCCAAAGGGTGTTAGCACGTAAGTGAATGTAATGGATTCGAATGGAATACGAACTCGGCTCCACCGTGCCTCCTCTTTCTCTCTCTCTCTCTCTCTATAAATATATATATATATATATATATATATATATATATATATATATATGCCTCCCATCTATCATATATATGTGCCTCCTATCTATCTATCTATCTATCTATCTATCTATATATATATATATATATATATATATATATATATATATATATATATATATCTCTCTCTCTCTATATATATATAGAGAGAGAAAGACAGACAGACGGAGACAGAGGCAGAAAAGATAGATAGATAGATAGATAGATAGATAGATAGATAGATAGATAGATATTGTTTCTATATAAACAAATTTATATCAAGCTGGAATTAAAAACAAATATTAAAAATTAAGATATGCAAAAGTAAGTGAACCGTTACATTCATGCTTTGTATTTTTGTTGCCAGTGCAAATAATTTTTTGTTCACGTGTAAGTATAAAAATGACCCCGGTTTCATTTATTTTGGAAAGGTGTGCATAATGCATATAATTTATTGTGTATGCAAAATGTAGCAGTTAGGGACTAAATTTAAAAAGGTTTTATGCCAAGATCAAAGGAAATCCCTGAACCGTTGGAAAATAACATAGATGAAGTCTATAATAATGACGAAGGCTACAATCAGCTATCAACACTATTTGGAGTGCATGACTCCATCGTACGGAAAATTATTTATATAAGGAAGGCCTTTGCAATGACGTCATCGCAAACAAGAAGTGACCGTCTGCGAAAACAACTGCAAGGACAAATAGACATCTAGTTCGGCAAGCCCAGTCAAATTCTCCTCTCACCCCAGCGGTTCTCCAAGGCTTTCTGGCCAATCAGCCTGAACAATGCCGACTTTATATAGAATGCCTCGATAAGAGCCTATTGTTTACTAAAAAGGACAAACAAGTTCGGATCAAATATGCCAAAGAGGACATTAATATGCTAGAAAAGTTCTGGCAAATAGGCTTATGGCCGAATGAGACCAACCTAGAGCATTTTGGGAGGAACCATAGACTGTATGTCTGACGAACTTCTAATACGATTTTTGAAGAGATTTTCGTGACAACAGTAAAACATGGCGTTGGCAGCATTATGATTTGAGGATTCTTCACTGGAGATGGAATAAGCAAAA